AAATTTAAATTATAGCCAGAAACAACCTTTCCGTACGACCTAATATTATACCTAATAATTTACCTCGACTATGAAAATGGATGCTAACATGTTATTAGGTTATAAAGTCTATTAATAGAGGTTATATAAATATACTTGTACAAATTTTATTAATACAATAAGCCTTATTGAATAAGGAAATATGCATTTTGAGTTGCTATTGATCAATTATATATTAATAAAATTATAAGTGCATTTTGTAACAATTTTAATTTAATTAGTTACTTAATATTTAATAAATGATTTACTTGTTAAGCTCAATTGATTTATGAGAGCAAAAAATTATCTATGTTAATTTTTAGGTTAGGATAGTTTACCAAATATGAATTGACATAAAATATTGAAAATAGTGAAAAATGACAAATTAAATATTACAGTTATTAGTTTTATATTTTTATGATTAAAGTCTAGATTAATTTCACACCATGCATAGCCAGTACAGATAATAGTTATTATTTTGTTTAAATATTGCATAAAGTAGTTACTATAAAGTTTCAAAATTAATGCCAAAAATTAGAGTTTATTTCAATGAAAACATTAAACAAATTAATCCGCAATACATTTAATAAGTTTACACTCATTTATCGGGATAAACTGATCAGGCTACCCGTTTCCAGATAACGACAGCCTCGTTTTTAGGTCTCACCTCACCCGGGAACATTTTGAAACGTAATGTTTTCTGATCTCCCCCACCACTCGTGGCCACGTACATAAGGTCGCTCCAATCACCTGGCTTAGTGTGGATGTCGGTGGCTATTTTCTCCTTGACAGTACCGGTTTGAATCTCGTCCAGCACCGGGGCGTTAGCTTCTTGACGCTCGCCAAACGGGGCACTCCCACCGCCCTCAGCCCGGAAAAATAAGCCACCATATTCTTTGGTGATATCGTCCCAGGTCATTGTGGGCCATAATTCGTGAGGGTCCTTTTGACTGGACAATTGTGTGTATACAAACCCTACTGGTATCAAGGTATCTTGGACTTGGGCAGCTATTTTCTCGATATCAGCGTTGTCAATTGGGTTGCATAATGAGCTTGCTAAGTTTTTAAAATTAAACAGTTACTCAATTAGTATTAAAAATATTTATTTTAATTAATTTTACTTACAGCAAGCAATAAGCAATAATAGAGCGAATGCACCAAGGTTGCCCATATTTGAAACTTAATATAGTTGTTACAAGTTATATGTAATATAATTATTATTTTTGTGCAATGCTGGTTTATATATTATTTTCTAATCAATAATTAAGATCAATTTCACGTTAACACTTAAGATTTAGCTTTATTTAATTACTATTCAAACAACTTATAATATTATCATTACTTAATTTCAATTGTATGCTTTGGCACTAAATGAAAGTAAATAGCTGAAATTATTTCTTTTATTATAAAGATAAAGAGATTTTTAATGATAATAGTTAATTGATTTGTACCATATATCTATTTATTGAATAATTGATAAATAATAAATTAGCAGTGTACATTTCAGAGTGCAGCATGACAACCACATTGCGGATTAGGTGCACTAAATTTATTAGCAACATACTTTAATATAATATAATATTATTATAAAAATCTATTTCTAATCTATTCTATTCACTATTAATAAGTAAAAAATAAAAGCTGCATTTAATTTATTTTGTTAGTAATATATTTTAATATTAATTTCTTATACAGCTACATTACTATATCGACCAAAAACTTGTTTAATAAGTTATTTAAACATTCTTAAGTAATTAATTAAAATAATACTTTAAATTACCAGTACTTTTAATACTACCTAATATTTAACAAATTCAATGACTACTCCTAACAGCAGCTATAAGTCCCGGTGCCGTATAGGGACCGGTATATTTACGGGGATCAGTCTTATTAGTGCCAAAAATTAATATTGTAGGGAAGCCTTGGATGTCATACCGCGAGCCCAGTTCCCAATAAAGGTCTCCATCGACTGCACCCACTTTGGCGACCCCTTTAAGGTCTTTGGCAGCCTTTTGATACTCGGGTACAAATTGGATACAATATGAGCACCAGGGGGCGTAAAATTCCACAATCCATTTTTCCGCACAGTTAATAACCAAGGTGTCAAACTTACCAGGATCCAAATCAATGACGTTTGAATGGTTGCCGTATAATGTATGACATGTTTGGCATAGACTTATCATAACTAATAATAAAACTTTTAAAAATAAATTTTAATGCCATGAATATATACTAGTTACATTTAAATAAGTTATAGTGTACCTTTTAGTAAGTTCATAGTTATGTATGTTAAAGGAACTCGGTCAGACAATATTAAAAATAATTATAAAGTAGTATAAGACTTATTAAATCTATTAAAATATAAATATTTTATAATGTTTACACTGTGTTTTTATAATTATTACATAATATTTCTACAGTATTATATTTGATATATATACTATATAAGTAGTATATATATTATATTATATTTGAGTACTTGCATGATGTGTCATGATAATGATTAACCAATTATTATAATTGTATTAAAATAATATCATTGTTATTGTTATTCATAAATAGTTTAGAAAATAACATGACATTGAAATATTCAATTAAATCCTTATAAAAACAATTCAAAATACAAAATATAATAATTATAAAATTAAATGAGATATTATGATATAATACATAATTGCTTTCAAGTATCATAAAAATACAATTAATTAGTTATAAAAGTATTAATTTTAAAAATGCAATAAAAGTTAAAATTTTGTTTTCCACTTAAAATGATGTTCAAAATAAATGTTAATTTTAAGCAAGTGTTGAATCGGGTCTATGTTAACTATTGTACCAGGTAGGTTTTATATTATAAACTAATGCATATTTAAAAAATAAATACAATATACAAGCATTTAATGAACATCAATTATCTTAGTCACCATGGTAATCGATTGGATGGGCCCGATCTCCAGTTCATTGTAACGATCATGTCTATTCAAAATAACCAAGTTCAGTTTTTTGTGTGAACCTTTGCAGTTGATTAATCCCTGTGTGGGGTCTCGATACCAAAAGACCCCTTATATGTACCGGTTTGGTATACAACCACCTAACGAGTGGCTATTATTATGTTGTACCGCCGTATACCTGTAAACGTACCATGATGATCTTGGTTACTTCGATATTAATTTCTAGATTGAATATAATATATTCAACGACTGTAAACACCTAACAGTAAACGGCACTGTACAAAAAAGGTGACAAGATACCCTGATCCATTTACGTGACACCCGATTCAACACTTGCTTTTGTTATGTTTGAAAAGTGAAGCAATTGTTTAATCGAGTGTTTCATATATGGTTTGTTCGCAACTCATTTAACATTTAATTAAAAATGTGTAAATATTTATATTCTTTAAAAATTTCATGTTTTATTTTATACTTATAAAAATTTATATAACCATTGTCTCAATTTTTAATAAATATCAATTATTATTATTTATTTTAAACAAAT